GGTGACCTTTCTTGTCATGGTTGTAGCATTTAAAATTCTTCTTACCTTTTGATTTTGACCTACCATGATTGTGCCTCCCATTTGGGCCACATTCCATTGATCTTCCTCTTATCACCAACAAGGCCTCTACTTATTGTGAACTTGTCTCGTCCGTCTTCCTTGTTCTTGTTTCGATTTTCTTTTTTAGAATAGTAATCGCAACATCATCGAAGATTAAATAATTCGTAAGGATATTATTTGTTAAGTTAATGATGAGTTGATCATATAAATCGAGTAGACTTTGAAGTAGAAGTTTAGCATGTTCACTTTGATCTATTTTATAACCCAACGACGTGAGTAGAGAAAATAGAGTATTCAAAGTGTTGACATGCTCGTCACTAAGTAGATTCCGACATACGAAGAGCATAGAGTTTTCTCTTAAGAAAATTTTTTATTGTAGAGTGATTTGGTCTCATACAGCTTAGTAAGGTTATCCCGGATCTCCTTTGTTATTTTCTTCCCCTCTATGTTTGACAACACCTCATCCGTTAATGCCGGATAATGATTTGTAATAGTATTTCCATCAATCTCATTCCACTTATTGTCATCTCGTGTATTATTTTGGCCTTTTGTTGATAGGCATTAAGTGGTTATCGTTTTTCAAGATAGCCTTTACCTTTAACTTCTATAATGAGAAATTGCTCCCGTTGAATTTTTCAATTCCAAACTTTGCCGCTATAGCTTATATCATGGACTCTTTACTCGCTATAGTAACATGCCTCTACAGGATCTAAAACCACACTCGATACCACTTGTTATGTTACCGATCGAATAGAGCAGAATTCATAACTAATAAATTTGATAAAACAACGATATTGAACACACAAATTTTATGTGAAAAACTCTTAAACAAATTAAGAAAAAAAAAACCACGAACAAGATAGAAAAAACTTCACTATGAAAAATAATAAAAGTTATAACCTCTATCTACATTATAAGAAGAAAATAATAATTCTTTCTCTTGAAATAGAAAAACACTCTATGTTCTCTAAGAACTAATCTCTCTTTGATAGAGGATTTTAGAGATTAAACTAGAGGCTCTTTATTTATTTATTTATTTATTTTTTTTGGATGGATGAAATAAGGTGGAAAGGCCAATTTATAGGCCTTCCTCGCATTGCACCACCTCAATCGAGGCGGTGCAATGCCGGTCACAGCTTGGAAAATGCAAGTCGTGACCCAACTTGCATTTTCAAGTTGTCTATGGTTCCATGCATAACTTGATTACCGCCCCTTCTTTAATTTTTTTTTTTCATTCATTTCAACATAAACTAGATTGGAGATGCATGTTTAATATTAGAGTTCTGAATCATGACAAACTATGTTAGATTTTTAAGTTTTCACTAAGGGTCCGACTCTACTAAGACTTCGGGAGTTAAGAGAACATGTTTGTCGTTAACTTGTCAAAACTTTGGAAGAAAAATAAATTATTTCTAAAGACGCACCACATCGATTATGGAACCAGGTGCAACAACAATGTCATTACATTGATAGACAACACATTCCAAATATAATAAAGAGTCTTTTCATTTATTATAAAAAGTAAAGTATAATATAGTTGTTTAATTTTGCATTAAAAAAAAAATTGAAACTTGGACATCACAATAAAATACTTTTTAATTTTTCTCATCTCTCTAACTAAGATAGGCAATTTCCTTCCTCATAACATATCTACTCCGGCTTAGCTAAAAGTTCCGTATTTTGCACTCTTTCCATCATAATTCATGCATTCTATAAGGATTAGTGAAAGAATCACATTGTATAATTATGTTTTATAAAGGTTCAAGTCTAATAGACAAGATTTAGCTTATAGAGTTTGGCACAACTTGTTTAATCCTAACAATTTTTTCAAGTTTTCCATATTGTATACTAGTAGGATAATCCAATCTTTATCCTTATGTAATGAAAGATATGGAATAGACATTATACAATCTCTTATACATAGAAAGAGTTTTAATCTAATCGAAATCTTGATAAACATCAGTGGACATGTGTTATACTACCCGAATCTTCCTATATGATCCTAAAAGAGACAAAGCTCGACCTAAAGCTTTTTTGTTTGAGTGAACATGTGAATGTTCGCAGATATAAACATACAAGTTTAGTCTAATTATGAACAATAAATTAGATTACTAGAAATTAGATGGCTTGAAAATAAATTAATTGATTGCTAAAAGATGAATAACTTGAAAATAAAATGGCATAAACAATTAATGAAAGTGACTACAAAGAAAAAGGACAATTAAGTCTAGGGCTTAACTCTCTCTCCAATGAAATCATCATTTTGTCACCATCAATTTATGAAACTTAAAAAAAAATAAATAAATAAATAAATTTAATGATGAAGAGTTGCCACCTAGTACTTTATGAAGACTTAGAAACCTAAATAAGTAGTCTTATAGATATTATGAGTAAAGAGTTAATTATATTTATGAAAAAAGAAAAACACCCTAACAAATCATTTTTTTAAGTAAGATTACCAAACTTGTTCTATTCCTAAGTAATTTTTTTAAGTAATTGCCAAAAATATTTCTAAGCTTATTTTTTATTTTTTTTATGACACAAAAGAAAAAAAAGAGTTTGTTAGTTACTCGTAAAATCATGTTAAATTGGTATCGGATTTTGACTTTAGAAGTCGTATCAATTTAACATTAGATTATCTAATATTGTCCCGATAAGAATTGCATGTCAAAAATATTTTAGTAATTTAAAACATATTAAATAAATCATATTTTTTAATAGAATTAATCGTATTAAATTACCATCGGATCTCAAAATAAAGAGTCGTGTTAATTTAACATTGAATTCTAGTAAAATTTAAAGATGAAACATTTAATCAATTTTATTTTTAATGCATAAATTAACTAAGTAGTGTGAATTAAAAAAAAAATCAATTTTTTACTTAAATAATCTCAGAAATTTGTAAAATGTAACACTTAATAGAAGACACATGTATTTACAACATGCTAAAAATTTAGCGTAAAATCACATCAAAATCTTGCCTAATTCATAAATGGATAAAATAAAAGAATCTAACTGTAAAATCAATTCATATTAAATTATCAAAATAAACTAACCCAATGACTAAACCGTATAAAATCAATCCAAAATTTCAAAACATAACAGATTGCTCAGAAACGATGTTGCAAAATTTTAAGTTGTGGCCGTGACTTTCATGGCCAAAATCAAGGGCGAAAAGTCATAAAATTGCTAAACTAAAAGCATAAAACTAAGAGGGGTGTACCTTCTTTTATAGGTAAAAACTAAAAACAACCAAAACGGTTGGATTATGAATGAGAAAAATTTGTCGAAAGTTGGCTTCCTAAATTGCTGAAACTGTTAGTTTTTTGCTCTCTTTTTCTGTGTTTTTTGCTCCTTTTTGTTATATATTTTGCTCTTATTTATCTGCTTTATTTACAGGGTTTAGGGAAAGATCTTCATCTTTATGAACTGCTTTCCATACAATTTCTATGTAACAAATATATATAAATAGATTTTTATAAATGCTGGATTAATATAATACTTTTTAAAATGTTATACAAACTCTAATAAACATCTTAAATCAGTGTTTGAACCTAACTTTTATACCATTATACGTAGGGGGAAAAAAAAGAAAAAAGCAAGCATCAGAAATGTCAGATCCCACCGGTCAATCTGATTGAGAAGCAAAAATATTGGAGAAAATACAGGAAGGAAATCTTGTACCTCGAGCCCTTTAATGCTTGATTGAATAGATTTGTTTTCTATTTTTTCATTCCCGATTTTAAGACCAACAAGACTATAATATATAATTTTTTTTTTATTAATCTACATGTTCTAATTATATAGATATCAATTTGTATATGAATGATCTATCTAAGACACCATAGGATAAAATTAATTTTAATGTACAAACATTGATTGGAAAATGCCTAGAGAATTCTAAAAAATGCATAATATGTAATTTTGTCAAATGCTAAAATAATCCAAACATTATAATTGAATATCGGGTCAGTTAGCTTTGACATCCCTATACTTTCTTAGTTTTTTATTGTGGTCCTTCATCATTTAATTTTCATAATTCAACTCCTCTATTTAAACTCTGTCACTAAATCACATCATTTCATCTAATTTTGATCCGTTAAGAACTAATGTGACCTGACTTGAAGGTTGCACTCTCTCCTCTGTCGAGATTAACTACGTATATTTTTCATCATTTTGAAAAAATTTAAAATTAAAATTTAATAAAATAAAAGATTACCAATCAAAAAATAAATAAAATATTAACCTTGTTAGTTTTGTGAATTTTGATGAAATTATAAAGTATTACTTATAAATTAAGAGAGAGAAACTATTTAATTATTATAAAGATTTAAAAATTTTGGAAAAATTAGGCTTTTAATTTTTTTTATTTTTTTCCTTTGTTTTCAAAATAATTAATTGAACGAATTAACCTCCTCTTAATTGTGCTGAAGGGAGAGAATGTGAGGAGTGGGGCCCACATGTCTGGCTATGTCAGAAGTTAACACCTCAAATTGGATGGAGGGATCTGATTAAGCAACAGAGGTTAAATGTAGGGATTTGATTAAGAATATTAATTGATGGAGTAGCAGATCAAGAAAATTGAGAGGATGTATAATTTGATTGAATTGTTTTAAAACAAATAGTAAGGATTATAATAGTTTAAATCGTATAGATAAGCCAATACACGTAAGACAACCACTGTCAGCAAGTGTCCAACAGCTTCCTACCTGTTTCGCTACTCTTATCCTATTTAATTCCAACAACACTATAAACATCTCTCTCTCTCTTTCTCTCTCTATTCGATTCGGGAACGGACCCGATTCATGAACAGGGGAAGCATAAACTATAGATTCTCCAATCCCTTGACTTTCTCTTCCATGGCACTGAGTCTGAGGAAATCAAGAAACATTATTATCGACCATGTCAAGTCAAAGATTGGTTTGTTGGGTCTCACTAACATGATCAGTCCTTGCCTATCTTCTTCGAACAGTGACCATGGAACATTATTTACAGCTTCACTTGCTAAAGATTTGAGGGTTTCAGGTTCGGTTTTGGAAAACAAACCGACCCTTTACACGACTCGGCGTTTTGAGTCTATTAGGCCCGATCAAAGGTCTGATGTGAAGTATAGTGCGAACCACAAGCAGGTATTGTAAGCCTACATGTGATACAAATCTTCTGTGTGTTGATTTATTAATGTTCTATGTGATGAGGAGAATGTTTTTGGGACGTTACATTTTTGTTGATTATTTATGGCTTTGCTATTGAATTAGTTGATTATTTTATTTGGTAATGCCAAATGCAATGTGATTGATGATTATGAGCAAAATAATCTCAATTTTGTGTGGGGGGTACTGGTATTTCATTTAAGGTTTTAATTGGCTGCAAATTTTTGAGAAAGGATGTTGTAGGCAATTTCTAAGCAATTCTGATATCATCATGTTGGTTATGATTTTAATCTTTCATGAGTGCTGTTGGGTTTTGTAGCACACCCGTTGCTAAGGGGGAAAAAAAAAGAAATAATATTGATAATTATTGACCAGCAAAATTAATGATATAGTACTCTTTTGGTTGGAGATCATAGTTAATTGAATCTCCGTGTGGTTATGCTCTTAAGTTTTCAAGATTATTGTAGTTAGACTGCTTCATGGGGTGATGCTTCCTCATAGTTGCCCTGCAATAGGAGAAGATGAAGTGGCATTTGATTGCCGGATGAAGAATTGATTAAAAATTTATTACTGTAAGAATTTTCATATAGAATTCTTAAGTTTTCATTCTGGAACAGACTGAGCAGGAACTCTAATTGCGTAAATTGGTTAGAAATAGGAGGTGTTAGTGCAGTGCATCAAGTTAGGCTGCTGGTTGGGGTGTGTGTGTGTGTGTGTGTGTGTGTGTGTGTGTGAACATGAATGTATACTCATCAAAGCTCCCTTTTATTGTAGTTTTTGGATTTTCCAGGAGGAAAGGTTGCATTCACCCACAAAATGAGATTTATATCTGAATCTCCCGAGGAGCGAATTCCCTGCTACCGTGTTCTTGATGACAATGGTCAGCTGATAGAATGTAGCAGCAATGTTGGGGTAACTTTCCTTGTTATCCTTCTCTTTCTGGTCTTCCCTCCTTTGGCAAAAGGAATGATGCTTTTGTTTTTACTTTTCCAATTATATAGTCTCACAGAAAAGAATCTCACAGGCTTTTGTTTAAAATAGGTCAGTAAGGAAATTGCTGTAAAAATGTACAGTGACATGGCTACTCTTCAAACCATGGACACTATCTTTTATGAAGCCCAGAGGCAAGGAAGAGTTTCATTCTATGTGACTACAATCGGAGAAGAAGCCATTAATATTGCATCAGCGGCAGCTCTTACCATTGATGATTTTGTTGTCCCTCAGGTTACAAGTACATAAATAGATGTTTACTTCCTCACCATCTTCTCCAGTATCAGCCTAATCCTCTTTTCTCTTGCTCACACATAAACATACTCACCCTACTAACACTCAATACACCTGTGCATGGGTAATATAGAACTTGTAAGGTTTCTTTGTGCTTTTTATATTTTACGAATCGAGATTGGATTTGGCTGAGTTCTTTATACTCTTTAGAGTATTTTCTAACACCAATATGAATCTTCATCCTCTTAACTTGCTGGTGCTGGAAATTGCCTTAACTTATCAAGATCAACGCAATCTGGTAAAAGAAAATGACTCTGCTATACCATGCAGTACAGGGAGCCTGGAGTTCTATTATGGCGTGGTTTCACCCTTCAAGAATTTGCAGATCAATGTTTCAGTAACAAAGGTGATGATTGCAGAGGCAGGCAGATGCCTGTCCATTATGGATCGAAAAAGCTTAATTACTTTACAGTAGCGTCAACAATTGCGTAAGATATAGATCTTTGGTTTTTAGTTGTATGGAACTCTTTCTGAGTAATTACTCATGGAATTAATTTTCTTATTGCCATCCAGTTCACAACTTCCGCATGCAGTTGGTGTTGCATATTCTCTGAAGATGGATGGAAAAGATGCCTGTGCGGTCACTTATTTTGGTGATGGTGGCTCAAGTGAGGTTTGTGTCTTTTAATTTTAGGGGTTAGGAGGATAGACTTCCACTACAAATGCTACCGAAGGGACAACAGAATGATTCTGCTTCACTTGCTACAAAGAAATTGTGAATCCATTAATCCCAAAGGCTTATGCTTTTGTTGGTTATGTTTCTAACTGATCAAGCATTTTTAGGGAGATTTTCATGCTGCTTTAAATTTTGCGGCGGTTACGGAGGCCCCAGTCATATTCATCTGTCGGAACAATGGATGGGCTATTAGTACTCCTACTTCAGACCAGTTCCGAAGTATTCTTTCCTCTCTTTTCCTCAGAATTTGGCAATTCGACACATAAACTGTTTCTTTGTAAATGGTATTTTATTTGTATCATTCTACATATTGACAGGTGATGGTATTGCTGTCAGAGGGGAGGCTTATGGAGTGCGAAGCATACGTGTAGATGGTAACGATACTCTTGCCATGTATAGTGCAGTTCGTGCTGCTCGTGAAATGGCAATATGTGAACAAAGACCAATCTTAGTCGAGGTAGAAGAACAACTGCTTTGCCAATTTTGAGCTTTTTTGGGGGTTAGTTTGAAACTTCTCTTACAAAATTTTGGTGTTTTGTTTGATCTTTCTCTCAACAGGCTCTGACATATAGAGTGGGACACCACTCCACATCAGATGATTCCACCAAGTATCGTCCAGTTGATGAGATCGAATTGTGGAGATCAGCGAGAGACCCTATTAATAGATTCCGTAAATGGATAGAAAGCAATGGTTGGTGGAGTAGCGATGCTGAGTCAGAGCTTCGAAGCAATGTGAGGAAGCAGGTAAACAACTTGTTCATTTGTACTGATATAAAGTTGCTGAAATTTTGTACTAAAAGACCATGTCAAAGTTTGCATATGTTTTCTAGTTAATGTTCATATTAGCAACTTAGCTGTTCAGGTAGCGGCAAAACGAAGCAGCATTCATTCTTTAAGTCTCGACACAAAAAACGTGACAGTATTTTCTGGAATCATGGTGGTTCCAAAAGCATTCTTAAAGGATTCTTGAAATGGAGCACTTTCTAATTTAAATGCATAAATTTCAATTATCTGGCAAAAATAAACTGAATCCTTACTCTTGCAAATTTTCCACAAAAATGATCAGATGTTAGATACAGAATATAGAGCACCAAATGTGATGTGATGTCATCCTACTTTGTAAGAGTTGCTATACTATTCATGTAAGTTAGCCACCACCCATCGCTGAGAAAGACTGGAGATCATTTTTTTCTTGAAGTTGTTTGCTACTCTCATGTGTTGTCCAATCTGAAAGTCTATGCAGTTCTCAATTAAGTGTTCTTACTCTTCCAATTTTGTGACAGCTATTAGATGCAATTCAAGTAGCAGAGAGAACAGAGAAGCCTCCAGTAGTGGACATTTTCACAGATGTATATGATGTTCCTCCATCCAACCTCAGCGAGCAAGAGAAATGGCTTAGAGAGACCGTCAAAAAACACCCACAAGATTACCCTGCAGACGTTCCTCTGTAAACTTGTTCAATTATGAATATTACCCATGATTGTGAATAAAAGTGATATTTCATTAGGGTTTGATTCTGTCCTTCAATTTATCAGTTAGTACAGCTATAGAGTGGAAGACAAATTAGATGTGGTCGTGTGGTGAAGCGCAAAATCCACATGTGCCACGTGCTTGTCCTTGTAGACATGAACTGGTGAATCCAGTGAAAGGTTTATAGAAAATGTTTTCTTACAGGAAGGATGAGCAACCTCCTAGATGTAGTTTCTTGGTTGAGTGGCGTGGAAATAGATATGCGTTGAGTTGACCATATCCAAACTGTTCAAAGGGGTGAAATAGATTGTGTATTGAGTTTGACCATAAGCAAGTTTAAGGAAACAACTGATGAATTCTCCTTTGCCTCATCTCTGTTCCAACACTACAATTTAGGTAGCTCTATCCTGGAAACTGGAATCAATATGAAGCAGTGATCGTGCAAGGCCAATCAAGGCTGCACGTTAAATTCCGGGGAAAAGCCATCTCGTATTTACATAAAGAAACTAGGCATGCGCATTTCAATTCTGAAGAACTTTGTCAAGGCCTAGGAGCAGTTGAACGAATATGAAGGAACCAAAACCCTGGATTTTTGCAGCTTGGAAGAATGACAAAATTACTAAGCATCGGATAATATATTTGGATTTACAAGTTGCAGGAATTTCCATGCCCAACAGACATTGAGCGTTTACGAGTGGAAAACTCAACACATGTAAAACTTATTTGAATTGTTAACCGACTTAGCAAATGAAATGACAATCATTCATCAGGGGAAGGAATCACAAAGATGAAGCTTTTTCCTCTATGGATTCTCTAACTGCTTTCAAAAGTGATGGCATCAGTTTCTGATTAGTAACAATGATGCCCGTGTCAAGATCCAGGTATCTTCCTTTTGAAAAATCTAAGGGGTTCCCTGCAGCATCTGAGACGACTCCCCCAGCTTCTGCAAAAATAATTTGACAAGAGATTTATGTAAACAAGCTGTTGATTCAAAAATTCCAGCACTTACGGCTTATGGTATTATGAAATGTCTACACATATTAGAACATATAGATTATGAGGAAAGCAAATATTCTAAAGCTCTACAAATTACAGGCTACATCAGTCCTTAACCTTAGTGTATGTGGGCCTAAGAAATAGGTAAAACAAATACTTTCTATACCTGCAACAACTATGTATCCAGCAGCATGATCCCATATTTTTTCACGGTAACCTTTATGTGGGAATCGCAGATATATGACCCCATCTCCTCTGGACAAAGCGCCATACTTTGCTTGGCTATCAATTCTAACTGGTGGTGCTTTGACACCAAGTTTCTGTCCAGAAATTAAATGTTCAGGAAGTTGCAAATAATTTTATTTATTTATTTATTTATTATTATTATTGGGGGGGTGGGGGGAGGTTGGGGTAGCCCATAGAGAGTGATCATACTTTGGCAATGGAACTAGATAGATCATGCATGGAGTGTGCTGCTTCAAATGATTCAAAGAATGATGCTTCTTCAGGATTGTCAGTAGCGCTGACTTGCACCTGTATGGTACCAAGAAGACATTTGATACAAATCACAGACAACCACAGGAATATGTGTCATGGGGAAAAAATCCACTAACTGCACTGACCTTCACTGCTGAAGAGCTATCCAGTGGCTGCATGTAAGTTCCACCACCAACTACAGAGAAGAACAGGCAACCAACTTCACCAGGCAAAGAATGCTGAGAGCCACCAGAAATGGAAGTTAACGGAAGATTGGGACAAGCCAAGACACCCAACACTACTTTCCCTTCATCTAACAATGCTAAAGCTATAGCATATTGATCTCCTCTTAGAAACCTATATAAAATGTCATTAGGAGGATTTGATTAATCATAGTGAGTTCATTAAGGCAAAAAAAAAAAAAAAGGAAAAGGATATCCTTGCAAAAAGCCACTTCTCTAACATCAGCTACAACTTGATTGCCCAAGCTTGGCTCAGCCAATTCTGGAGGAACTCGACCTTCGGTCAAGCCAGAGAGATGCAGCTCAAGTTCAACTCGTTTTCATCTTTCTTATGCTCTCAGCATGAATTTGACTTGTGTCACTTACATATGAGCGAAGCCTCACCTCTACTAGTTTATCAGGATAAACGAGCCAAGCTAAGCTTGGCTCTTGTATGCAGACTGGGGAATTCTAAATTAATAGAAAAAACTCTCACGCTCATGTCTTGTACAAAATAAGTTGCACATTCACTCAAAAGCATGCATGTTGTAGTTAAGAAGAACAACTTCATCCTGTTACGGTGTCCAAGATGCCTACATCTCACATTGCAAAAATTATGGTACTATATGGCTTTACAGCACAATTATCCATGCCAAAACCCAAGTTTCAAAACTCACCCTTTGGTACCATCTATAGGGTCCAGAACCCAGTGTCTGCCTTGAGAACCACCTTCAGATTTGCCACAGTCAATGGCCTTGACAACATCTTCTGTGGATAAAGTGAAATCACTATCTGATCCATCACTAGCTAGGATAACGTTAACAAGTTTTGTAATGCGTTCTAGCGTTTCCTGGGCACCATCCTTGCGGAGATCTTCTGAATCCTAGAAACATTCCCCAAAAATTATTTTGGTGAATTTGATAAATCAACAATGAAAAGAAAAAAGCTTCTGCAGATCTCAGAATAATTATAAAGTTTTACCCATTTACCTCCTCAGCCACTAATGAGAATAGTTCAGAAGGAAGCTCCCTCTGCAGAGCGTAACTAACTAGTGCTTGAGAGCCTAGAATCAAATGAAAGTGCCAAAAAGGGTTATTAGCTGCAGTTGCTTTTGTACCAACCTTAAAAGCTGAAATAAGCATATTAAGAAAACAAATAAACTACGGCATAAAGATCTAACCAAAGGTTTTCATTCCAAACACTGAAACAATGGAGAAAATTCAACTAAAACTCAATTCCTCGAGACTATATAAGTTAGACATTCAAATATTCACAAGAAGAGAATCACTATGATCTCTCATTCATGATGCAATTTCTAAGCAGATAGGAACTAGCATATGTAAAGATGACAAACCACTCATATAGATAGTGCAGCACTACCATCCATAATAATCAAGTGGCTTTATAACAAATGGATACATCCCAGTTCCTAAACTTGCACATGAAAATAGAAAATAAACTTAATTACAGCTTGACAAGTCTCTTTTGAAATAGTAGACATAACTTTAACAAAATGGCATCCTATGATAAAACAAAGCCAACAGTATCAAATCATCAGGCTATTGACTAAAAAGTAACCTCAAAGCACTTGAACAGAATTGTACAGCCTATCGGCAAAAGGAAAAATGAAGGGTACTGCACTTATCAACGTGAATTCATAGGAATATTTAACTACAAACCATAATCAGCAACTGTGACAGGACTTTTATCTGATTTAGATTGGACATCTGATTGCAAGATAGCTTTTTGCACCTTCTGAAGAAAAACAAAAATACATGATATCAGCTTAAGAAAACAAGAACAGGTATACCCATACCTACCTAAAAAAATTGTGGCCAGGATGCAAAATATCAAACCATCTATTCTAAAAGGGGATCCCGTCATGTTAAGCAGATATAGATTAAGTAATGAAACAATTAATCACAAGGGACTAACAAAATCCATGAAAATAAGCTCCACTGGTGAAGCCAAAAAATTATATAGAAATCACACAGGAAACATAAACATAAATAAGCAAATAAAAACATGAGAATGAGTTTCCCCCACAAAGCTATTACTAAAAAGCATCACAAAAACAAACTTAGCATACTTTTCAGTCAACCATCTCCATTTCCTCCCTTTTAGTTCCCTTTCAATCATCCATTCAAAAAATTCTTCTAAACAAAAACTAGTAAGATCTACAAGAAACAAATTTTAACCAAAAAACAAAAACCAAATTCACAACAAGAGTAATAACAAAATTTAGATTCTCAAAGTAAAGAACTTTATACTCCAAAATCCCAAAAAAGAACAAAAATAGATAAAACCCAAAAACAAAAACACATCAAAAATCCAAAACAAGGGTATCTCTCAAATAATAAATTCAGCAGCTGTGTCAAAAATCCAAACAAAGATTTCACACGCCAAGAGCAACCAATACAATCCTTCAACAACTCAAAACATAAAATAAAAAATCCAAACAGACCCAATTTCCGAACAATGCACCATCTATACGTGCACAAAAAGAAAATACAGGAAGAGGCAAAGAAAGGGACTTTGCCTGGCAGAGGCGGGCAGCTAGACAGGCAGCTTTCTTGGCAGCAGCAAGTTCCTTATCGTAAGACATTGAAGAGAACACTCTTAGAATAGAGGTTTTAGTTTTGGTTTTGTTAGAGAAAAATAAGAGAGGAGAGGAAACAAGAAATGGGTTTTTTGTGACTCTGGTTTTGGGTTTTGCAATAATGGATACACAATGCGTAGACATCCTTGTCTCTTTTCCTTTCTCTTTTTTTGTCTCCTTCGTTTTTGCTTCACTTTTCGAGTGGGCTTCAAATAGTACCACGACTATGATTCATCACCTGTCTTAATAAGACAGCAGTTGGGTTGGTGTTCGTCACTAGTTGTATTAATTTTTTTTTTATTGGACAATAAAAATATTTTTCAATTACTTTATACATCAATTGAAAATAATAATAATATTATTACTGTGTTTTCTCTTATATAAACAGATATATTGATCAATCGTTTTAAGATTTTTTTTTTTTTCATATTCTTCTACTTTTTTATGGATCTCTAGCATAGAGTGCTAATAAAATAATATTCAAATCTTCTGTTTAAAGAAAAATAAATAAATATCAGGTAGAAGATCAAATAACAGAATGGCATGTATGTAATTATAAACTTTATGAGCATTTATTTATATTTGATTCGTTAAAAAAAAAAAAAATACTCCATGATGGATTAGAAAGATCAATTAATGAAAATTTCTTTACTCCAATGAAACAAAACTTAAAAAATAGAGAATAATTCTTTTTTTATTCAACAATTTATCCTCGAAATCAGTTTATATTATAATTAAAACTAATTTTTCTCTTTAGATGATTTTAAATACATTAATTTTTATCGATAAAATGCATTCAGAAAAAATAAAATTCTTGAATTCAGGTTTTTAAAATTAAAAATTAAAATTTTAATAAAGAGAAAAAAGTCCATGATACTGACATTTTTTTTATTATTTTCCTGGTTGTTAGGGAGCCAAAGTTGAGTCTGTTAAGGATCTTGTGCCAAACGTGCGAACATCAAAAGTTTTCTCGTTTGTTTTTTACTATTTTTTTTTTTTTAAACAAATAAATGCAACATGCATCAAATGCAGATCGATTTACTCTCCATATAATAATCTTCTTATATAATGAAAATGGATAACAATAATATTTTAATGGTCTATTTTTGCTTCATGTAAGATTTTTATAGAAATGTCATTTGTTTTTAATCATTAAAACTATATATATATATATATATATATATATATATATATATATATATATATATATATATATATATATGTGTGTGCGCGCGCGTGAGAGAGAGAGAGAGAGAGAAGTTTTTAATTCCAAATAAATAAAAGTTTCTAGATTAAGTGATAAATTTCTTGGTTCCAGAAAATACAGTAAATAAAATTCTCTCGATTCCAAAAAGTTATTAAATTTCAAAAAAAAAAAAAATTACATTCACAATTAACTTGTGTTCTTTCATAAAATAAAATTATTTATACTCTTCCCTATAAACAAAACAATATTTTTCGTCTCCTTACATTTGTTGTATGAGACCCTTTCATAATGATTTTATCATGAATAATCTATTTGTTTCTTCGGTTTCTATTTTTTATTTTTATCTAACTAAAATAATAATTTTTCTTACTTTTCATTTTGTTTGTTGGTGATGCCAATGATATATATATATATATATATATATAATGATTTTTGTTGCTATTTCTTCAAAGGTTGTAAAATCGAACATATATTAAGAGAATTTTATTAGTATTATAGTATATACTAAATATGTTGTCTTATTAAAAAAAAAAAAATTCTATTCTATACGTCGAGGAAAAAAAAAGACTTCTGCTTTATATATTTATATATAAAAGAAAAGCAGTTACTATTTTTCTTTTTATATCACAATACAAAACATATATTAATACTAATATATAAATCCAGCTCTATCTCTAATTAATTAAGAAAGAAAAAGCATTAATATAATCTATAACTATAACTATACATAAAAATACAAACTCCTTAAAACAATTGATAGACCATTATACCCTTTAGCCAATGCTAACTTTATAATTTACCCCAATACTAATATGTAATCTTACCTAATCTTTTAAATAAGAAAGATATCGATATACTAAATCACTCATAGTCTATGTAGCACTTGATGAGACTTTATTTTGAGGATCAAAGACTTTAAAAGCTCTAATATTATATGACCTTAATATTATTTTAATTTTTAACTATGCACTTACGGATAAATTAGTGCCTTTTTTGCGTATTTGTTATTGACTAACGACTAGAGTTCTTATCCTGACTATTAAAAATTAAATATTGAGAAATAATTCAAATTTATGTTATAATTAAAAAAAAAATCAAACAAACGAATTTAATTATAACTTATCAAAATTTATATGAAATTATTCCGATTTTAAAAATAAAATATTTTAATATAATAAATATTCCCAATTATTCATTTATAAATATTTCAAAAATTTACTACGAGTAATAAAATTAAAAATAGTCACATGTGCCAGAAAATACTAGTTGTTACAAAAAAAATAATAAAAAAAATAAACTCGAATACTTTAAATGAAAGGTTTGAACTCATTATCTTCGTAGGTAAGAGCTCGTTGTTACTAGACCAAATATTTATTGATCATTATATATCTATTTATACATTACGTAAATTCTTAAATAATATAAATAAGATTTTTAAATTCCCTCTAACCTAGATAGCACCGTGTTGATACTTTATTTTAACTATTAAAACTAAAAATACTTTAAAATATGTCAAAAAAGGCCAATAATTAAAAAATAAAAAATAAAAAATTATCAAATTATATCTTTGATTATTATTATTATTATATGAGATCCTCTGTTGATGCTTTTCTTTATCATTTACTCATTAAGGTGAAAAAATTTATAAAATTTTTGTTATCGTTTTTCCATCTCTGCTAATATTAAAAGAAAACTCTTTTGAACAAAACAATTCACAAATTTTATTTTTATGCCTATATTTTTAATTTTTATACTTTCTGCATATAATTAAAAACCAAAAATAATAAAATTATATCAAAACTCAATAAATTATTAAATTGGACCTTTGTTATTATTTTTTTTAGGAACCCTTAGTTATTTTTCTTATGTTATCTTTGACTCATCTAGGTAGGAACAGATTTATATATTTTGACAAACTCTATTAATATTAACAAGGATTCTTTAGTCAAAAGGTATAATAAAATTTTTTATTCGTGTCTATATCTTTAACATTTACCTCACATATATTAAAAAAGAAGTCTTTAAAGTAAAATAATTTGTAAAAATTATAATACTTATGTAATCAAGTTAAAATTTAGTGGAGTCTTGAATAAAATTTTTTATTCGATTTGTACTTATGTATTCGCATTATATATAGATGGTTTTATTCAAATTTTATTGCCGCTTAGTATTTCATTTATCTTATTTTATTAAAGCTAATTTTAGTTTTTTTTTTAATTGACAAACATGCAATGCGTGTCGCAAGGTTACTGGTTGATAAAAAAGAATGAATTGGGGACCAATTGAGAAAAAGGGTAATAGATTTGACACTAATACGTGGTTAACCCTTTATTTTTGTACGAGGTACTAGGAAAAAAAAAAAAAAAAAAAAAAAGAAAACTTAGTATTTGTTGTCATCCGATCGATTTCAAGAAAGACAAGTGTTGAAAAACTTGAACTAGTTAAAATACCTCAACTTCTTCATGCTATCTAATTCTAAAGAAGAATTTGACTGGTCTAGTTAGGTATTTGTGACATGGGATTTACTTGCTTAAAATAGATTTCTCTCCTACTTGGTTTAGCACCACAATAGGGAGAACTTCCAAATGGGGCGGGCAGCCACCAAAGTTAACCGAATTACCTTCTCCTTTAGTTCTCTCCCTCCATCCCATCATCCTCATTTTCACAGACATAACAAAAGCAGAACGCTTTCTTTTCACTTGCCTCTCTATCAAAAGCAAAAAAGCATTACTTTTCATCTCAAACCCCACGTCTTGCATGTTTGCATATGTACAGAAGAATAAGTAGACACAGCATTGAGGATACACAATAACACCCCATAATAGTAATGTTGGTAGTGGTAATAGTAGTTTAAATATTCATATCTGTTAAAAAAAAAGGTGGTGGTAGAGGGCTTGACCACAAGAGGAGGTTTTGGAGGAGATTGGAAGAGGCAAAAATGGAGGAACAGCGAATCACTGCAGCCAACAAAACGGTGGACACAATAGTCTGCTATGCACCATCCATGATAACTACCAATGGTATATGGCAGGGTGATAATCCTTTAGATTACTCTCTCCCTCTTTTCATCTTGCAATTAACTTTGGTCGTTGTCACCACTCGCGTGCTTGTTTACATCCTCAAACCACTTCGACAACCTCGCGTTATCTCTGAGATACTGGTGAGTTTTATCTTCCATGATTTATATCGAAAGTGTAATAACCTGTTTGCTTTCATCACGAGAAATTTCATCTGCATCGAGAAACCTGCAACACCATGAATATAACAAGGAATATAATTTCAATGCATGTTTATGCAGTCACCTGTCAAGCAATATTCGTTATCATAAAATCATCAGATTGCATTCTCGTTGTATAGATCATGTTCCAAAAACCATGCAAGTTCTTCAGTTTTGTAGAGGATGTTATAGCAAGAACATTTTAATACGTTGGAATAAAATCATAAGATTAAGCTCTAATAACAGTAGCAGTACAGTTACAGCAACAAACTTCGTTCTACAATATTTTCTGTATCTGGTTCTATCTGATGCAACAACAATTTGTACAATGTATGACATTATAACAAAGGACGACACAGCCAACAAGCAACAGTTTAGGATTTGTAGTTAAAAGCTGGAAATCTTTTGTGGAATCATACTTGGCATAAATTGTTTGTGAAAAAAGTGGTCTAAGGCTCTAAGCTGGACAATTGGGCAAAAACAACTGTCTCATCTTCTATCCTGAATCCACTAGAAAAGACAGTATAAAGAGGCATGAAATGCCGTTCATTTGATGTCAAAGCCTTTTTGATCCCGCTCTTTGTACACCCTCACATGCGTGTATCCGGCAAATCAGATTTCTTGAACAGACTCAAGATACTGGGTATGATCCTTCAAATGTAAGGTAAAGTTTACAGAAAATAGAAGGTACATGTGTTTCATATGGGTATGGATCTGAACCAAGCGGGAGCAAGATAGCTAAAAGACCATGAATTCTATTTCAAATTTCCTTTCTTGTTGATTACATATCTCCTAATGTTATTAATGTCCTCTATAATTTTCACAGGGAGGAGTGATATTGGGTCCATCAGTACTTGGGCGCAGCAAAGCATTTGCCAACACAGTATTCCCTCTACGAAGTGTGATGGTGCTTGAAACAATGGCAAATGTGGGTCTCCTCTACTTCCTCTTCCTGATTGGAGTAGAAATGGACATCTCGGTAGTAAAAAGAACTGGGAAAAAAGCCTTGGCCATAGCCATTGCAGGCATGATCTTACCCTTCTTCATCGGCCTAGGGTTCTCTTTCGCTCTGCATAATGAGTCACAAAGCTTGAACCGGGGAACTTTCACACTTTTCCTTGGAGTTGCCCTATCCGTCACTGCATTCCCTGTACTTGCAAGAATTCTGGCAGAGATCAAACTCATCAACACAGAGATTGGTAGGATGGCCCTGTCTGCAGCTCTTATCAATGACATTTGTGCTTGGATTCTGTTAGCTTTTGCTATCGCCTTGGCTGAGAATGATACTACTACCTTGGCTTCCCTCTGGGTGGTACTTTCTAGTTTTACATATGTTCTTATCTGTATCTTTGTTATTAGACCAGCCATCGCTTGGATGATTAGTTCAACTCCAGAGGGAGAAACCATCAGTGAGTTCTACATATGTCTCATTCTCACTGGCGTAATGATCTCAGGATTCGTTACCGATGCCATTGGAACACATTCTGTCTTTGGAGCTTTTGTATTCGGCCTGGTTATTCCAAATGGACCTCTTGGAGTCACTCTGATAGAGAAGCTAGAAGACTTTGTTTCAGGGCTTCTGCTCCCTCTCTTCTTTGCTATGAGTGGGCTCAAGACTGATATAGGGTCTATTAATGGAGTCACAACCTGGGGACTTCTAATACTTGTCATAATTCTTGGATGTGCTGGGAAAATTATCGGTACTCTGCTCGTTTCAATGTTCTACCAAATGCCTGTCCTTGAAGGACTTACTCTTGGTTTGCTCATGAACTCAAAAGGCCTTGTGGAAATGATTGTCCTCAATGTTGGCAAGGACCAGAAGGTACCAACTTTTTCAAGAACTTTTTCCGTTCATTCTAGAATTGTTTCATCCTCTCATGTTCATATAGAACCTACACTTGATGGGATTCACATGAATGTGAAAGAGGGAAGCACCACACCAAGTCTCTCTTCTGTGTGCACACAGGCACATGCACATGCACATACATGCACATGAATAAAGTGCATTGGAAGTGATATTGACAAAACACAGATGACTTGCAGGTCTTAGATGATGAATCCTTTGCAATATTGGTGATCGTAGCTGTGATTATGACTTCAATCATCACACCCATTGTAACAACCATTTACAGGCCAGCGAGGAGGTTCCTGCCTTACAAACGGAGAACAATTCAGATGTCAAAACCAGATGCAGAGTTTAGGGTATTAGTATGTCTGCACACTCCTCGCAACATCCCATCAATTATTAACCTCTTGGAAGCCTCCCACCCAACTAAAAGGTCCCCCATTTTTGTCTATGTAGTCCACCTAGTTGAACTCACCGGTCGTGCCTCGGCCATGCTTATAGTCCATAATACCAGAAAATCTGGCCACCCGGCCCTCAACCGCACCCAAGCTCAATCTGATCACATCATCAACGCCTTTGAGAATTATGAACAGCATACAGCTTGTGTCTCTGTGCAATCCCTTACTGCCGTTTCCCCTTATTCCACTATGCATGAAGACATATGTAACTTGGCTGAGGACAAACGGGTTGCTTTAATCATCATTCCTTTCCACAAACAGCAAACAGTTGATGGTGGAATGGAGGCTACCAACCCAGCTTTCCGAACGGTGAACCAAAACGTATTAGCCAATGCACCCTGCTCCATTGGGATTCTCGTGGACAGAGGGCTGACTGGGTCTACTCGTTTAGCCTCAAACCAGGCATCTCACCATCTAGCTGTGCTCTTCTTTGGGGGCCCAGATGACAGAGAGGCACTATCTTATGCATGGAGGATGTCTCAGCATCCAGCGATAAACCTCACCGTGATGAGGTTCATTCCAGGCGAGGACGCAATAGAACCTGATGGCCATGGGAGGCTCAGTGTGGAAACAGTAAATCAAAGGGAGAAGCAGCTTGATGAAGACTATGTTAACGAATTCAGGATCCGGACTGCTCATGATGGGTCCATATTTTACAACGAGAAGGTGGTTAACAATGGTGAGGAAACAGTGGCCGCAATAAGGGTAATGGACAATCATCACGACTTGTTCATAGTGGGCAGGGGACAAGGGATGGCATCACCACTTACGGCTGGGCTTACAGATTGGAGTGAATGCCCGGAGCTTGGTGCAATTGGGGATTTGCTAGCATCAGCAGATTTTGCAGCAACAGTTTCAGTTCTGGTGGTACAACAGTACGTTGGGTTAGGGCCAGAAGAGGAGGGGTTAGGAACACCTGACACCCCTGTTCAAACAGAGGAACAGTACAGCAGCGTACAGATGGTGAATAGGCCAATGGGGCAACCTGTGTTTAACGCACAACCCCAAACACCACCACTGTGAGCAATGCGTCACAGGTTTCTAAAGGAAATAGAGTCAGAAAATGTAATCTCGATTATAGAATGCCGGATATAGTTGAGAGCTTTCTTACTTAGCTTTGACTTCAACTTTTAGCAGGACCTGAAAATTTTAATTATTTACTCCTTACAACAGGAATCTTTTCTCTTACTGCATGGAAGTTACAATTGTGGTTTCCGACTTCATATGAAGTGATTTTCAATTAAGTTCAAAGAAACGCATTAAGAACAAATCATTATACAGATTGCAGAAGCAGGAAAACGAACCAACACTTAAAATTAGTGCAGCACTGCTGCAGACTTAGGAGGTCCAATAGTGAAATTTATATGATCACATCCATCGAGTTTTACAGTAGTCATATTGGCACTCGTGAAATTATTAGCACGTAGTTTGATACAGACCTTTCAATGAGGTTGTTTGTAGCACAAAATTCTTCAGAATTTTGATATCTCAATAGGCAATGCTTAGCAATGTGTTAAAATTGATATCTCAATAAGCACTAAATTAAGCTAAGAGGAAATAGAAGATCGGAAGTCAAGCAAATGCAAACTTCAGATAAAAATTAAGATTAAACATCAATAAGGAATAATTTATAAGAGCATGCTTCTTGAAATCTGTGTGCAACACTTACGTACAGATGTATTGTGCCCTGAGTAGGCAATTCGGGTTTGCTAGTTATGTACACGTTAACATTCTAGTTTCATCAGGTTATGAAATCTTTTACTAGTTACTTCATTTTCAAGTCATATTCTTGTGTTGAACTTAGGTTTTTCTCAGTAGCTTCATGCCAACTCCAGCATTGCCACCCCAGCCATAGAACTCAGTGAAGGTGCTAAACCTTGCATGATGATTTGCATGCTTCTCTATACCACACTTCCAAGCAACAGTAAATGCACCAGTTAATCATAAGACATACAATTTTATGAAGCGTTAGTTTTCTTCAATTACCTTTAAGCTTCATCATCCTCACTGTTCGGTCTTTCAAGGCAGGGCCACTCAACCCTATTCAACAGAAGCAAGAAGATTCAGCTATTTGAACATGAAGCAATGAAGGAAAATCTTTCACTTGTCTGCTAAAGAAAGGAATGGAATAAAATATCAACAAACAACATTCTAAAGCTGAGCAGATGAAGGAAAATGTAAATGCTAGCATTAACAAATCCGTGTCCTATAAATATAAAGATGTTTTCAGATGATTCAAAACAGATTGCTCCAATTCCAACTATTTTCAGAGCCTTTGACAGCATACCACATAGAAAAGTATGATCAAATGTAGTACAAACATAACGATCTTTAGAAAAATATGATTAAAATTAGCTCAATGTCAGGGTTGCTTGACAGCCTGTTGTTAAAAAGCAGACATCACCGAGAATGTGCATTCAACAGGACAAGAAGATGAAAAGTTGCATGTTCTACCTCAGGTTTCAAACTTTCTCCGGTTTTTTCAGCTTAGGGTGTCCACTCTACTGATATAGCAAGAAATACTTGTGACTCCGGAGGGAAAAACCAATCCTGAAACTTGAAGAACATCCAAACAAGTATCAATTGGAATGCATTCTGATGAATGGAGAATATAAACTGCTAAATGCAGAAAACATTATTAGCATTCCACCCTCAGTACTAACATAAGATTGTAAAACAGCTGGTAAATGAGAACATTTGTCAGCATAACAAAGATAATTTGACTGCTCAAATAAATAGATCCTGCTCTCAGGTACTCTTCTGAGTGCTATTATATGTGTCTACACACACACACACACACAAATATCACAAACTTACAGCTATGCTGAAACTTATCCATGTGCCATGACGTCCTTTGTACAAGGAGCAGGAATCTGCTTTGGCTTCCAGCACTTTCTGCATTTACGGTCAAAACATGATGACATGTGGGCTCTTCAAATGACACACCTAAGGAGATTCTTAATGTTGGGCCTTAAAGCCTTGATGACTGCTTCCCATGTTTCTTAAAAAAGATAGTCAATAGCTAGGCATCCATCTGCTCTGTGCCTTATTCTGTTCATAGTAGTGAACAGCTTCATTTCCATGAACTAAAATCAATGGACTGAAGAGATATATGACCCACATATAAATCCTTTAAATGCTGTTTACACAATCCAATTCGCCTTTTATTCAAGCTGGGATGAATACAAGTTGAAAATCCAGTCTTCCATCCAGGAAACTTCTGTCTTTCCATCACATGAATGGTATAAACACTTGGTGCTGCAGCTGAACACCCCATAACAAAACAGCTGCAACGCCGCGACTGACTCACCATTCTCGCTAATGACAGTAAACATAAGCCACTACAAGAAATTCCATACATCAGTGCCTCATCATTATCGAAAGCTGGAGAGTGAGACTTCTCATTTTCCACCACCTGCTCTCCCTCTTGGGTGGAAGGAATCCTGCTCAGTTCTAAATCAAAACGTTTCTCTATTGCATTTTCATGAACTCTGTACTTTGCGGCTAAAGTACGAATGCATGATTTCATAACTTGATTCCTAATTATGAGCTCTAACTCAGCAAAGTTCTGGCAATCAAAAAACAATCTCACCCAACGACGAACAATACCCGAAAACCAGTCAATGATCTGGATGTCATCTTGTAAAATTAGTTCAGGAATGGCACGGGAGTGACCTTGTGACGTGCTCAATCCATATCGTAACAAACGCTTATTAATGGCATTAACAGGAGCAATGATCTCTGTGATGTTTTCAGAGGAGGAGCTAGAGTTTGGCAAAAGAGCAAGAGTCAAGGCAGTCTCAGATTTAACATATTCCTCTGCACGCTTCTGAAATTCATGAAAGGATTCTCTTAGTTCTTGTGGAACAGCCGGTTCAGCAACATACTTGGACAAAACAAATTCCTCACTCTCTGCTGCTTTGGCTTTCATGTCTTTCATCCATGCTTTAAGTAAGAATTTGTACCAGTGATCAGTTTCCATTCCAGCTTTGCGGTAGCAGGAAATTTGGTTCAAAAGAGAACTACTATCGGCTAAATGCTTGATCTCTGACTCTTTAACTTTTCTCAAACCATGAGCCAACCATTTCTTCCCAATCGTAACAGTCCCAACATCCCAAGCCTCTTGTTTTTGCAAAGCAAACAACTTGACTTTCTCTTTTAACTTGTGAGCAGCCCTTATAGCTGGACTTTCTTTCACAGTTCTTCTAATCAAAGTGCCCAAAAAGCAAATTGCACGAGGTCCTGCACTAGGTAATATTTCCGCTTCACTATTAACGTCCAAGTGCAAACAATTATGCAAGTAATTTACAATCTCAGACTTGAAACCAAGTGCAACATCTTTGGATCCAGAAACTGCAAAAAATAACTCGTCCATGAAGCGACATGAATGAATTCTTGAACCCTCCTTACTACTGTTTTCAATATCATTTCCTTTCAGCTGCCTCCGAAACCAGCTACGCAACTTGGAGTGTAACTGCTCTCCACCAAAGTTGACATCTGTATTGAGAGCTTCATATTTCATTGAAAGTCTGTACAATTCATGGTCAAAGACATCAAGGTATATGTTCATTAATATAGGGGACAACACTCCCTCTTGCGGAAGACCATGGCCTTTTAGGTAACCCCCAAATTCCATATTAAGTACCTGGGCATCAAACATACCTTTAATCATATCGAATAAGCAGGGGTCTTGTAGTTTTTCCTCCATTATGAAGATAAGTTTATCAAGGATACAGGCATCCAGCTTTTTGCTTATGATCAATGTAAACCACCAGTCAGGATTAGAGATCTCTTTGCTGATGTATTTTAATGCTGTATGATGACCCCGTCCACTTCGACAACCATGAGAAATTTTGGAAAAGTAGGGCCTATAAACAACTTCCAAAACTATTCTAATAGCCTCTTGAACAACCTTCAACTTTAACTTTGGAAGGAAAAGGATTTCCTTTCTTGCACCCTTTGTGGCAATAGAGAATGTATTTCCACCAATATCAAAACATCCACCAGAGAGCTCTTTTTCCATGCATTCAAAAGATATATTATCATCATCTAATGCTATATCAACATTTGCATTGAGCCGTATACAATTATAAGCATCCTGAAGTGTTTCTCGATTTGCAATCACTTTGGTCATTAGATCATGAAATTTTCCATTAAAATATTGCTCCTTCACCCTCTTCTTTATACGAAGTTCAAGAGACCTCTTAAGCTCCATTCGACTTTTCTGTCTTCTCTCGTCAAATTTGGAGGATTCTGCAACAACAAAAGCCAAGTTCTTTGCTAATGTCATTTTTCCAGTACCCTTATCAATGTTATCATTAACTTCTGCAAGAGTAGAATAGTCTGAACAACCTTTGAATCTTTCTAAGGGTCTTCCTGTTGCAATGTATAAACACAACAATCAACAAACTAAAACTTCATGAACACCAATGAAGGATCCAATACGACAATAGAAAGCCCACCAATTAATCTTTCCATGTCACAGAAAACATTCAACAAGAATCCCCATTAATTGGCCATTGCAAAATATGTTTAGTACAACTAACAATGATACTTTTCATAGCCAACTACATTATTCCAACAGGAATATAACTGGACCAATAATAAATAAATATCTATATATATGTGTGTGTGTGTGCGGGCGTGCGTAAAAAGAAAAATCCTTTACCTATTATTTCCCCCAAATTTAAATCCAAAATTATCACAACCATTCTAAAAAAAAGGATTAAAAAAAAAAAAAAACAGCACAAGCCAAAATAAGTATTGCAACTCATTCAACAAACAATGGCTTTACACACCAATTAAAAGAGTAGGCATTAAGACCTTACCCATATAAGAAATGCCAAATAACTCGGTTCTAACAAGTTTCATGCTTTGCAATATTTTGCTTCTGGGAAAGCTCCCTTTGCAAATCCTTGGCAACTCAACAAGCCACATTTTGGATACTATCACTCACAATCACAAAAACTTATCAACTTCTCATGCACTGCAACAACAAATTTCAAAGTTTGAAATAAAAATATAAGGACCTGTTAGTTCAAATTAACTAAAAACACAGAAAAAAAGATGAATTGATAGAGAACAAGTGCTAATTTCTTATAGAGATTTTATCAAACATGTTGTCTGCAATGAAATGAGCCCATGAAAAATGCATACCTCTGAGATTTCTATTGGCATTTCTGTGGCTCAGTTGAGAAATAAGAATTTGGTCCTTTCGTAGGACAATAGAATCTGAGCTTATGATGGGCTTTATTTACTGGGCGTGGGCTCTTTTTTTGAGAGATCCGAATTTTTGCTTGAAAAAATGAAATATCAATCGATGGATGAGGGCTGTGCTTGGAAGTGATTAGCTTATGGCTTCTTTGGTGCAATGGTGGCTTTTCATGTGGCTAAGGGTTTTTTTAATTTTATTTTATTTTTGCTGTTCTGACAATTAAGACTATTGTTTAATTAATTTACATATTAATAGATATTAAATCTGTTTTGTTTATTTTGTACTCCGTTCGTTTCAAAAAAATATATTTTTTTATTTTTCATACAGATTAAAAAAATTATTAGTTATTATGTCATCTCAATATCTTTTGTTAATATTTTTTTATAATTATATTTATATAATTTTTTTACAAAATATACTTTAATTAGAGATATTTTTTTAAAAAAAATCATTTAAATTTTGAGGAAACGATCATTTTGAAACACATATAAATACAAAGATAAACATTTTTTTTTAATCACGAAAGGAGTATAATTAATAATACCAAACAAAATATTACTTTTATCAATGTGCAAGGGATTTATTAAATATTTTTTAGTACACCAAACTAATCTCAATGACTATCCTGAAATTATTAAGAGAAAGAATTTAGTTTCAATTGATGCATAAATTAGTCTGAATATATATATATATATATATATATATATTGGTCACTGCAGATCACTTGAGGCTTTGGTGGAGGTGGGGAGTGTTAGGCGATGGCTCCAATCCACAACAATCCAATTGCATGAAAGGTTAGTGTTAATCCATAAAGATAAAACACAAATAGCAATGGTGTTAACTTTTTAGTTTAATGTATAGATACATATATGAACATTAATTTATCATTAAATAATGATTAATGAAAACGAATAATTAATTCTCTTAACTAACACTTTCACATGTAATGGCATAAGTACCATGCACGTGGTTTATTTATTAATTACACCTCTAAAACCACAAATGGGATGATGATATTGATAGGTTTTTAATTACGGGGAAAAAAAGTATCATTATTAGTGATTCATAGTGGTAAAATTCACTATCATGAATTTTTTTCCCCCTTTTTTCAATCCAATATGGATGTACAGCGCAAAAGATTATGTCACCGAAATGACATATTGCTTGCTTTGTTGGAGTGACACATCTCTTCACTTGTAAAATATTTTTCAATTAATGTACAGCACAAAAGATTATCGTGTTTACCATATATAAAAAAATAAGATGAAATAAATTTTTTTTTTTTTTGAAAATTTTTTCTATATGAAAACTACAATAGCAGAGGTTTTCAAGTTTACAGAAATAATTTTTTCTCATTGCTGTAATAAAAATTGTAAGTAATAAGCATGTTTTATAATTTTGTAACCATATATAGAAGTTAAAAAAAAATCTAGTTAATCTCCATGGACATAAAAGCTTGTATATGTTATAAAAGAAATGACAATAATAGCATAATTGAAAAGAAAGATGATAAAAAAAGAAATTCACTATAAAATAAAGTGAATATAAGAGATAACGACTTCACATAATTCTCTCAATTTCTACAAAATACTTGTACATAAAATAATGAGAAATCAAACCTATTTATAACTTCAAGATTAGGAAGAGAATTGAAAGAGATTATGAACATTAAATGTGCATAAATAATTTAATCAATTGCGACTCCATTTCAATTTCTCATATTGAATGATGAATTGAATCACATTAATGATTAGTGAGAATATGAAATAGACATTCATTATTTCATAACACTCCCCTTAAATGTCCATTGTACAAGAAACATGCTTCGTTAAAACCTTACTACGAGAAAACCCGAGTGGAAAAAAAATCCTAGTGAAGGAAAAAAAGTGCAATATTCCTTGTACACATTAATCTCTATGTTGGACTACTCTTGTTGAAAATATTATTTAAGATCTTTAAGACCATGCCTCTCTTGCAAACCTTTTTCTCAAAAACTCGTAATATGTAATGCCTTAGTGAATAAATTCCTTGGATTGTCACTTTGATGTATTTTTTCTTTAATTGAATTATGAAAACAACATTATCTTCATATGATATTATTGAAACTTCTTTGTCGATAGATAAAATGTATATCTATCGGATATGATGGGTCATTAATCTTAGCCAAACACATTCTTGACTTTCCTCATGAATTGGATTTAAATATGTAGTAACTATAGTTTGTTTCTTAGAATATCATGATATAGTTGTATCATCAAGTGTAAATACATAACTCGTTTGTAATCGAGTTTTGTATGGATCAAATAAATAACTTGCATCCGCATAATCAATTAAATCTGATTTTGATTTATTTGAATAAAATAAATACCATATCAATTTTTTCTCGGCGATAATATAAGAAATATTTAATTCCATTCAAATGTATCCGTATTAGAGCGTAACTATGACTTGCTAATAAATTTATAGAAAATGCTATATCGGTTTGAGTATTATTAACAAGATATATCAATGCATTAGTGGCACTAAGATATGATACTTTAGGACCAAGTAGTTTTTCGTTATCTTCTCGAAGCCGAAATAGGGTTTTTTTTTTATATATCAAGTGAGTGAACTACCATTGGGTTAGTCAATGGATGATCTTTATATAGAATAATTATAGAACTTTTTCTATATAAATTGACTAATGAATAAAAATATCATTCTCTAAGTGTTCAAGCTACGAGTCGAGATAAAATTTTATTTTCCTAAGGTATTCACATTAAATTATCTTTTTAGATAACTTATGGCACTTTAAATCTCTTCAAGAATTTCAATAATATTTAATTCATCACATGTACAACGAGTTATCACAAACTCTTTTTTGAATTCCTTTATAAAAATGCATGAACAAATATGGTTATTTTTACAACCTTTTCTTAATAAATATTTATTAAAGTAATTATACCACATGTACACAGATTAGTAATAAAGCGTAAATATTAAAAATAAAAAATAAATATAAAAAGTATAGCATAAATTGAATTTCTAAAAATTAAAATAATAAAACAAATACTAAAATAATTTCGATAAAGATCTCTATAATTTAATTGAATTTATTTCTCGAGAATATATATTTCATGCTTCGGGCATCTTAAGTCCTTCTAGGACTTTCATATAAATGTCATTTTCAACTGAACAACACAAGTTGTGATCACATCTATTAAATGTATGTATGTGAAGTTTTTTTTTATATATATATTTTCCCAAGCTAACAAGATAACAGAATGTAATTACATTCATTATAGGAGAATATATCTCCTCGTAGTCAATGTTAGGTCCTTGCGAAAACTCTAGTGTTACAAGTCTCGCTTTGTATCTCATAATCTCAACTTTCTCATTTTATTTTTGTAAAAATATTTATTTGTATCTCACTAGCTTAACATCTTCAAGTGTTTTGACTATGAGTTTTAAATATTACTCATATTCTACCTAGATTGCTTTTTTCATTTAAGCCAATCATCTCTATGTCGACATTCTTCAATAAATTTAGGCCTAGGATCCTTATTTTCGTTCAAAATATCAATTTTAACATTATATGTAAAAATCTTATTAATAAATTTTTTTTTCGATCCTATTTTCTCCTTGTATTAACATAATTTATCAAAGTTTCTTGATTTTTCTCAAGCATTTGAACTTCTTCCGTAAGCCTATTATCAAAAATATTTTGGACCATTTTATGAATATTTGCATTATTTATATTTATATTTTAATTATTTATCCTTTTCTTTTAGGGATTTTTGCTTTTAGAATCGATCGGTCTTTCATGTTTCAAGCGTGCTTTAGATTCATTTTCTATAACATTAATAGATTATTCTTCTAGGACATCAATTCTAATAGAAGTATTCTTAGTGGGGATATGCATTTTAGGATATGAGAATGCATATGGTAGTTGATTTGCAAAGCCTCTTAAAATAATGTGAACTTTCAGTTCACATTATTTTATACAAGGATTAAGATTATATAAGATATAGTACTTCATGTATTTTTTTCAATATTTTTCAACTCGCTTATTTTGCTTATTCTCTCCTCCTAATGTTGAAAAATTGTTTCATCAAAATGATAGTCGATAAATTGAGTTATAAAAATATCTCTTATTCATGGTTCAAGATATTGAATTATTGAAAAGGATTCAAATCTAACATATATTCTCAATCTTCTTTAAACGCCCAACATATATTCCTAATCTTCTTTAAGCGCCCATTTTAGTTCGTTATAAAGGAGCACTACCGACATATACTCGCAATGTCAAAAATTCTTAAATAAAAAATATTTAACTCATAACCATAAATCAATTATAAGGGAGAGAATTTCTAATTACTTATGGGTCTAATACAAATAAGTGTTACTCGTATATAAGATTGCATGTCCCCAAACATAAACAGAGAGTTTTATTTTTAAATAATAGTTTAGCTATCAATTGGAGCCTTTTAATAAATGATTTTGCTAAATCTTTCTAAGTATGAACATGAGCAATAGGATGTTCAACCTTTATTCTAATAGCCAATCAATAATCATTTAATGCTTAGAAGATAAATTCACTAGCATTATTAAGGTGAATTGTTTTGATGGCATAATTTAGAAATTATGCTTGTAATTGAATTATTTGGGTTGGCAATCTTGAAAATATCAAGTTTCGAGTAGATAATAAATTTACATATGATCATTTTGTGGATGCATCTATGAAAACTATAAAATATCTAAATGGTCCACGTGATGGATGAATTGATCTACATATATCACCTTGAATATATTTTAAAAATACTAAAAATTCAATCTTAATTTTACTTGGTAATGACTTAATAATCAATTTGCCTTGAGAAGATGCAAAATATGAAAATTCATTAAATTAAAGAATCTTCTAGCTCTTCAATAAATGTCCATATATATTTTTAATAATTTTTTATTACTATCTCGTTGTAGCATTTTCTATTCACATATGAACTCAACAATTAAAAAGATAGGTTTGCACTAACAAACCGAAACCAAGTACCTCAAATGGATTGATTGTAATTAAGCCATATCCTTCTAGCCACCACCTTCAATGCTTGTTAAATAATGTCATGGGAATCATGTTTGAGATTTGTTAAAATGGGGAGTTAATCTAAATCTTTGTTTTGTCTTTCAAATTTCATTGCTCCCGCTTTGTAGTAAGGATTGGCTCATGTTTTGTTTTTTTCTCGATCAATGAATTCATTCATTCATAAAAAAGAGAATATTACTTTTATCAATATATATATATATTCTTGATCCATGAAAATTGAGTCAAAAATATTTTTATTCGTTTTATATGTAAGGTTCTATCCGAGTGGCGAACCGACTTTTAATTCTATGGGGTCCCAAGCCCCCTCTATATGTTTTTTCCCCCATAAAAGCAAATGAGCATGAGAAAATTTACATCAACAAAAAAGTGTCCTCAAGGTATTCTCCAAATTACCAATGGCCATTCATCCCCATGGTACTTTTCCTTTCAAGCACCGAAATCCTTTGATATTCTTTAGAATATGATATATCATGTTGTTTTAATCTAAGCCATTCAAATAAAAAAAGAATTGCTAAGATCTTATTAAATGGCGTTTCAAACAAACAAAAAAAAAGCTAAAATTTCATGATATTCATTTCCACCATTTTACATGGATATTCTTTGATGATTCAACTCTAGAAACAAACAATCGTTGAAAGGAAAAAAAAAAAAAACAAATCCTATTATGTCAATATTAGCCTATATACATTTCTAGTTTGTAGCTATCTAATCACTTACTCATTCAAAAAATAAAAGATGAAGAATGGGATGAATTAATTTCAAAAACAAAATCCTTTTGTGAAGTAGTCAACATACCCATACCAGTACATGAGTGCTCATTACATTGCAAGAAAATGAATGGCTCGTCATCAATAAGATGCAATTACGGTTGAGCTTCATTACAAAGTTGACAGATTTAATGATGTGATAGATTCTCGGTTGTAATAATTGAATAGTAAATTTAATGATCAACAAGATGCAATTACGATTGAGCATCATTACAAAGTTGACATATTCAATGCGATGATAGATTCTCGATTGTAAGAATTGAATAATAGATTTAATGATCACACGTTAGAGCTATTCATTCTTAGTTCATCTTTAGATCCTAGAGAGTTGCACATATCATTTAGGATTGATGATATTTGTAAGTTGGTGTAGAAATTTTACCCTCAAGACTTTGTCGATCATGAAATGCTATAATTAGGGATGCAATTTGAGCTATATCTTATTTTTGTTAATGGTTGATGAAGATAAGAAAATTTGAAAATTATCCACTTGTGTATAAAGTGATAACACTTATTTTTACTCTTTAAGTTTTTACAGCTACCATAGAGTGATCATTTTTAATTATGAGCATAATCAAGAATAAGGTTCATGACAAGATAAAGTTGACTTTATTTTTGATTGTTTGTTAATATATATTGAAAAAGAAATCACTGAAAATTTTAATATAGATTCGCTTGTAGATGATTTTCATGACTTGAAAAAACGAAATCTTTATTTTAAATGATTGTATTTTGAAACTATTTTAAAATGTATATTACTATATTACTTATAATATATATAAATTTATGTAAACCATAATAAATTCATAAACATTTAGTTTAACCTTGATGGATATTTGGTTCTACGAACGCCACTGATTCAACCCACCTACCTAATACTTGATTGAAGAAAAACTTAAATCTCAGTATGCGAATATTGAGGAGAGAAAAAATCTATGTTGACGGGTGCCTCTTATCTACATGTAAAAATTTGGTTCCACGTCGTCTTTATTAAAATTTCATGCCTCCTTTTGATTTTTTAGGAAGTTATGATTGACCAGCCTCTTGCTATATTAAATAATCATTTTATTTTTCGGACAACTAGTGCAAGTTGAATGGCCGAAATGGCAGACAAGCTAGTGTTCAAAGACCAAATTTTCTTCGTCTTAATCTTTCGTTTTAAAGTTTTATTTAGACTTTGCTTTGTCTTATTCCTTTTGTCTCTTTCTCGCTCTAACCCACACATGTATATACGCTATGCACCGTATCCCTCCCATTTTTTTCTTACCGATTTTTTAGGTAACATATAATTTATTTTCTTGCCTAGTATTGTTCACCTTAATTAGGGAAGGAATAATTAATTATGAGCTTAATAATTAAAGCAAATAGCTTAGTTTGTGCTTATATTATGAGATTAATATTCAATTTTTTTTATATCTTAAAATGAGTTAATTATATCATTTTATTTTGATTGAGTTTTTAATTAATATGTTTTTCTAGTAAATTTTTTCGACCAAACTACTGAAAAAATCACGTAACTTGAACATTACTAATTTTTTTTCCAAAAAAGAAAAGTCACATGACTTGTATTGTTCAGCTATAGGCTATTTTTTAAAAAAAATATTACACGTGCAAGTTACATGACTTTTTATAGTAATTGGGCTTAAAAATTACCAAAAATACACATTAAAAACTCACTTAAAATATAATAATATCATAATTGATTTATTTTAGATTATAAGAACAAATTAAATATTGACCTCGTCAGATAAAAATAGAATGAGTAATTACTCCTAACAATTAAAAAAAAGAATAAATAATTAAAATTACTCATAATTAACCTTGTCATAAGAGCACAGGTTATAATTTTGATGTTAGATTTTATAATTGAAAAGAAAAAAACAAGATTTCTTAAAAAATTAACTACAAATAAACAAACACGTGCGTACGTGTACACACACAAGCACGTGCACACAGATATATATATAACATCTTTGAATTTATTTTGAATTTTCAAATTAAAATGATTGTTTTTTATAAGCATGAATATGACAACCATTTGATATTGATATGATTTAATCCCACATGCAACCCATGGAACCTACCAGCAATGGTTTGTAATGTATCCTTAAAATTGCTTTTTTCTAAATGAAATATATATTTTTTTTCAATAATAAAGTATCTTCAAATCAATTTTTACCTTTTTCGAGATATAGCTACAGGTATATTGAGAAAAAATTCTTATAAATGCTAAACACAAATATCAAACTCTGAAACTAATTTATAAATTGATACTTTCTTATTAGTAGACTGCTACTTTATAGTTTTTAAATGAAATCTTTAGTACAAATTACAAACCATGATCTAGGAAAGTCAATTCCCAAAACACATTTTATACAAAGTATCTCAAGTTCAAGCTTTTGTGAGAATTCCATTCGAATTCACTTTCATCATTTCATATATCCCATGATTTTGTTCAATCCAAGTTGCATTAACTATTTGATCATGATCAGATGGGAAAAGAAAGATTGTAGATCCCACCAGCTGCTATAAATTGACAGAACAAAGTGGTAGCATATGAAATGTTGGCAAGTCAAAAAGTCATACATAGCCAAGAACCACAAGAAATAAATGGATGGATTCTACTTTGCTTGTAAGAATTTTGTTTGTGCCCACCTATTTACAAATTGGAAAATCGGATTCCTTAACGGCAAATGATCTTCAAGTGAATTTGGTGGAAAAAAATATAGGTTTGAATGTCAGTTAGCTAGGTTAATTAGAAATTAGAGTCTCATTTCTAGAAGTCTGATGCAAGTAATCGGGAAAATGTTGCATCTTCTTTAGACTTTGATCATCAAAATGGTGCGTTGAAATGATGTTAATTAAATCTTTTTAGAGATCGAATCCACAGGATTATAATATGTGTGCATACTTTTTAGTCTTTCATCATCATCGATTATGGTGTTTGAAATGATGTAAATTTCAGAGAATCCAGCCAAGTTTGGAATAAAGTAGCTAGGTGATGTTAAACAAATGAAAAATTCTTTAGCTCGTGTTTGCTGAAAACCCGGTTAAATGTTGAGGTCTTTGACTGTTTTTTATCTTTTGCTTTTAACATATATGGAATAGCTTTTACGATGATTTTCATCTACGTACATAGGTTGTTTTTTTTTTTTTTTTCTATATCGGGTTTCACACACACATATATATATATGAGTAATTCTTTTTTAAATTCAAATTTAAAATGATAACATGAACTGTAAATCCATTTATATATCATTCGAGCTAACCCTCTATAAATTCATATATATGATCACTTTATTCTCACACTCGAAAGGATATTTATTTGAACTTATTGAATTCACAAATACCGAAAGTTAGAATAATTAATTTATATGTAACAAGGCAAATTAATGAGAATGTTGTTCCATGAAATGATAATTTTTTTTTATCAGATGGAGAGCCATAACCATAGACAACATGGTTAACTAGTACAACATCCTGAGAAAGCTATTCTCCTATGTTCTTTTGAACTAGTTTCACACAATATGTCACACCAAGAGGTAAGGAAAAAGCAAGCGATGCTAACCGATCTTTTAATATTTTAATTATAAGCTTCCAATGAAGCCCTTTCTTTTTCAGTTTTGATCTTTAAAGTAGGTTTATAATTAATTAATGGTTTGTGATAGGTATGTGCCTTGGGTGCCTAATAAGGCAATGCCCTATCAACCTCACCAGAAGTTGGAAACCAAATATGGAGGTCGTCCCATATATAAGCCCTATTTTTTTCCAACTGTGATGAGAAAAGCAAAGCAAAATGTGCAGTAATCAAACAAGCCAGTACTGTTTATCAATATTGGAGTGAAAGCTGACGTTAATTTTTTTTTTTTATTCCATATGCCATAGCTAGTGCTTTCCCATATCATTGCCACTCTCACGAGTCTTGTGAACAACATTACGCCTCTCCCTCTCTCTTGTGAGGATATAGTTCTCGTTTTCAACTGTTGTGGGGGTGGATTCAAACTTCAAAGACATGAACAATTATTAATTCTTCTTTCTCGAGGTGGGTCAGTTTTGACTGCATTGATAGATATAGAGAAAGGATTGGGGACCATTCCCTATAATTAATCTATATTATTGGTTGCAATCTCTTACTCTTTCACTAAGATAAGGCCTATATTTTTTGGCCTTCCTTAGTGTTTGTATGCTGGTGTTTTCCTCTGATTCGTCCAACTAAGACTGCACTTTTGCCTATCTTTCTCCCTCTCTTTCCTCTATAAAAAAAAAAAAAACATCCTTTCACCCTCTTGTAAATCTCAGCTTCTGCTGCTGCTGCTGAAATTGCTGGCGGTATGTGCTAGAGGTGATATGTTAGCTAGCCTTGATTTTTCTCTCATATTTCCCATCGTTCTTTTTTTCTTCCTTGTGTTTTTCTTATGACTTTGGTAACCTAGTTCCACTTCTCAATCAATTGTCATTTCTACACTTTGTCCCCAAGAATCTGTATTGAAAAAGAAAAGGGCAAAAAAAAAAAAAAAAAGAGTCCACTTAATTCCACCATGTTCACTGCAGTTTTTTAATTCATGAGTGCTGTTTAAGGTTTGTCTTTTTAACACATATTTCTTGCATTGTATATTATATAGCAAGTATCTTCTTACTTCATTTCAGCAATTCCTGTTGATCAATAATTTTAGGTACCATCCATTTGATAGATACTGAAATGTTTAAACAATAGTGCCTTCTATTCACCACCAATAATTTCTTTTGTTTTCTGTTCTTGAGTCTTTGGTTTTTTCTGCTCTTCCATGAAAAAAGCTGAAATGACTGTACCCCACTTGTTCATGTGTCCAATTAGTCTAGACTTGATCAAAGATCCAGTGACTCTCTGTACAGGCCAAACTTATGACAGATCAAGCATAGAAAAATGGCTTGCTGCAGGTAATCTTACATGCCCTGTCACAATGCAGAAGCTTCAGGATCCATCCATGGTTCCTAATCACACTCTTCGACATTTGATTGATCAGTGGCTTCAAATGGGCACACAGTTAGATCCTGTTTACTTGTCAAAAATTGATTCTCTAGGTTCCTTGAAGAAAAATCTTGAATCAGATGAAGCTCCCTTGGAGTACAAGTGTCTAACACTCCAAAAAATCCAAGCTCTAGCAGAAGAATCACAATCTGGAAATTCTTGTTTGCTTCAATTAGGCTTCTTGCCATTGTTGTTGGAACTACTTTTTGGAAAAGCAGAACCCAAACTGTCTGAAGAATGTGTTAAGTTTGCAGAACTAGCACTGTCTTGTGTCCTAAGATTGCTGTCTATCGGCGAATATGAGTATTTAAATATGCTAAAAGAAGAGTCTAAATTGGAATCCTTTCAGGTATTTCTTGATCAAGGAACTAGCAAGATCAAGAGGAGTCTGTGCCAAATAATAGAGGGAATATCATCGTCTTCGGAAACCAGAGGACTCTGCGCTAAGCTTGGCAAAAACCGCAAACTCTTGAAAGGGCTGGTTCTTTCTGTCCATCAAACATATGGGGAATCTGAGGCTGGAATCAAAGCTATATCTGCACTATGCTGCTTGGAATCAAATAGAGAAAATTTGGTTCAAGAAAATGTGATAAATGGACTTTTGGCCTACATTTCCGTTGCCGAAAGACATGAAAGAAATTTGGCACCTAAAGCAATGGCAACAATTGAGCTTCTTCTAGGACTAGAGAGTGCAAAAGAGGCTTTGATCAATAATCCTAATGGTATTAAAGCTCTCATTAAGATGGTGTTTAGGGTTTCTGATCACGAAGGCAGTGAAAGCGCTGTTCGATCATTAATGATTATATGCATGGATTCTTTACAGGCACGAGAAGAAGCAATTGGTGCTGGAATTTTAACTCAATTGCTTCTGCTTTTGCAGAGCCAGTGTAGTGGTAGGACTAAAACAAACGCAAGAACGCTACTCAAGCTGCTTAGGTCCAAGTGGGATGAAGAACCAAAACATTTGTAACCTACAAAGAGTGTGGGATGTTTTTATGCCTATATATGTGGGGTCTTGTTCCTTCTATGTGGTTTATTGGCTTCCCTTATGACATACTATCTGTGTAAAGATCAAAGAAATGTCCATGTTTGTATCTTATCAGCCATTAAACATTCATTAATCACTGAAAAAATCCCACCAAGCTGCGTGGATTGATGCTATGCTTAAACCAAATCTGGTTGGATGGATGAGTGTCCAGAGCCAAATCCCTTCCCTTTCCTCCCCTCGTAATTTCTGTCCATTTTATTTTGTGTTGTTGAGATACCATTCTCTGAAGTATCAATTCAGAAAATGAAAATTGCTCCCCATTAAAGCAATCACCAGCAGTGAAATTACAGCCTAACTGTCAAACCATAAAGTACATGCTCGTGATCCACATGGTTCATCCAAAAACAAAAAAAGCAGCATTGATCCCAGTGGTTCAAATTGCCAGAGAGAGTTGGCGCTGTCCCAAATACAGTATTACGGCAACAGGCAGCATCCTTGTATCATTAATGTCGAAATTTGGAACCTGAAGTTGATTCGACTGGAAGTTTCTGTCTATGGATATTCCTTTCGTTTTACTTTATATTTTTGTGAAAGTGGGATTGGATGATTTGCAACTTCCATAGCTTAGGTTACAATTAGGCAGCTGAAAGCTGTCGAATTGTCTGCTTATTGTTTCATAGAATACTGCTCAATTGGTGTCACATTTCTGGTACATATATCAAACCTTTTCTTTTGTTTTTTTCCAGCTCATTGCAAGGTTCACTATACCTTAAAACTACGTACACGAAAATACGAAGTATGAACACTCAGTAACGTTACCGACTAAAATAGGATGCGTTCTTCAGTACCTTTGTTTGAAAGCAAAATCACTGCCTTTCTTATTCAACTGCATATTCCTAAGATTAGTAACAATCCAAATTATTCTTATATCCAAAAGGTAGAAGAGGACAGAATAATGTGGGAGTGAAAATTCTCTCTAAGAAATCGATCACATTAGACCGGATATTTGTAACCTCCGATTGGCATATTACAAACATCTCGGTGAAATTGATCAATGTTTGTAATCTTCAACTCGGATATTATAAACATTCGGGCGAAGTTAAACGGTGTTGAAACATGCGATTGAACGCAGGGTCAAAGAAAATTTGTCGTAATCTAGTTACTGCCACAGTGATGGATCACTACAGTCAAGCATCGGCCTTTCTGCCATGGCATGCCAAATGAACAGAAAAGCGTTGATCTTTTTACCTTTGCAAGAGGACTGTCCCACCATAGAAAGACCATTGCAGTCAAGAATCAAATATTAGTTAATTTTCCCTTTATGATAGTTAAAGCTGCAAGCAAACGCTTTTAATGAGTGTTGAAAAAAATGTTCCAAAAGAAATATACCATTTGGTCCAAATTTTCGGCGAGGAAGTAAGCATGCAAAAGATGCAGAACTTTCTTTTTACCAAGATTCTAAAAGGTGAAAAGGAGGAGGAAATTGCTCATGGCATCCACATTATACCTATAGCTTTGCTGCATTGCCAAACAACCGTCCAAAATTTTGGCTAAAGGTCAAAAAGTTGGTGCCTCCAATTTTATCGAGTCCACAACAGCAGCATCAGGTAAATTCAAGCAAACAGTGAGTTCCTACTAGAACTAATCAAGTAGTGGTAGAACCCATGAAAGGGTTTCCTCCAAAGTTTGCTATAACTTGTGGAGGGGACTTTTTTCCTTAGTTCAATGGCAGCAAGTTGGTCTTATATGTAACCTAACCAATTATTGCAGCATGAAAGTAAACAGACGAGAACAGTGAAAGATCTCACGTTCTATATAACCATGTGCTTAAGGATTGCAATTAATTAATGGCTAAGTTAACCAAGTAAAGCAGCGTCTATAAAAGGTTTTCCTCCAAAATTTATCTTAATGTGTGGAGGGGAGTTAGCTCAACAATAGCAGGTTGGTTTAAGCGTGCATCAAAGCAAATTCCTAGAACTTGTGAGTTTGGTAAACAATGTCGTGTGGCTTAGATTCTTACAACCTAACCAATTAATGCAACATTAAACTAATGAGACAAAAGCAAGAAAGACCTCACATTCTGTACAAGCACAGTTGAATATTGCCCCTAAAGTCTGTTTTCTGCACTTCAGGAGTAGATTATAGCACATGGAACTCTTGATGAAGCTATCCAAAGACTTGACTGCAGATTCAACCAAGAACTCAGAGTCATAACTATATGTCATTTTGGAATTGCCTCCATTGCACGCAACCGGAAATTTCCTCCCTTGATTTGGGTAACCTGTGTTGTGCAATGTTTGAGTTGCGTAACACATCTTTTACCGGGCCAAGAACTTGGCCTTTAGAAAACATGGCCCCAACATGGGTTGCTTAATGAGTTTACAAACTGGACTTATCGATCTTCGCCTTTGGTTCAAAAGCGACGGCATTGACTCGACTTTGTGTCGCAACGTATTTTCAAAAATCTAATAACAATCGGTTCAACTCGGACAGTATGTATGTGACATTCGGGTCAAGCAACGTTAATTCCAAGTTGAACCGGTTGTTACTGAATTTGTAAACATATGCTTTGACACAAAGTTAAGGCCTTTGTGCTTTAACCAATGCATTGAATAATTTACATATCAAAGGAAGTAGAGCAGAACTACTTGTTCTTGATTAATTGTACTTGATTTTTACAGTACTGTTTTCTGCAAAGTAAAGGAAACGGGGTAGGACTCGGATTTGAGCTCTGCTTTGCTACTTTGAGAGCCAAAACAAAAGTAAAATAAAAACAATAGTTGTTGTCTTAGCATCGCATCTTTAATTATATACTAATTTGAGAGCCAAAACAAAAGTAAAATAAAAACAGTAGTTGTTGTCTTAGCATCACATCTTTAATTATATACTAATTTCTTAGCAAATCCAAGGATGGATCGTGGGTGAGGAGTGATGTGAAAGTAAAAAAGACAAGATTTGTATATATCACACAGATTCCTATGAAAGTGTGATGAACTGCTGCAAAGAACTGACCAAACTTGGAGGCCAATGCTTAGTTTCTTTAACATACGACAGGTCCGTATAGTGAGGATCAAGCATAGTTGCAATGGTGAATTGATTTTCTGCCAGTAATGAGGCATGCTTGTCCGCATATAAGGCTGCTGCAAGAGCTGCATGTATTTCTGTCAAAAACCCCAACAAATGTCAACATGAGAGAATGTTAAATGTAAAGACTAGGAGTAAAAGGAGACAAAATTTTCAAGGGGGAATGTTCAAGCTAAAACTTACTACGCTATATTGCCAGGGAATTTAAAATCTTGGGAAAGTACCTGGATATCCCTTCAAAGATATAGAAACATCCTCCATTTCTGCAATTGCTTCTTCTCTGTCCCCAACCTCATAAAGAGACAATGCTCTCCCCACTCTTCCATAGTCTGAGAACGCAAAATCTTTGTAATTTTCAACCATCTGAAAGAAAGTATGGAAGTGATCATTGCAAGTAACATCACAATTTAATAATTCATGAATGAAAACAAGCATGCATTACATCATGAAGACAACTTAAGTCATGCCATGAAGCTGCTGATATCACGTACTGGGTTAGAAGCATGCATTATGTAGTTTCTTGTCTAATGGTGTGACTGAAAATAAGCAGTGCCTTACTGGAGAATGTGCTCTGGGTGGAGGAAAAGAGCAATTACAAATTTCAGAATCGTAAATGCCATTTTTTATAAACCAAAAATCATGCAGTAAATGAGACTACAAATACATTTTTCTATTGGCAGTTCCAAATTCTCCACATGGGTGATGATAACATTGTTACTATGTACTACCTATTCAATCATTTTTTCTAGCATTTGAGCAATCTGGGATGAAAATCTTCTAGCAAGTTGTTCACTCAAATTGCAATGAGGTAGAAGCATTTCTTCTTCTTTTTTCTTTTTCTTTTTTCTTCTTTAGTAGGGGGAGTTGTAATAAATCATGAGCATATCACTTCAATCCTTTCCTTTGGTAAATGAAAAGGAAAGGGTTTAAGATAGTCAATTATTCATATAACAAAAAAGTCCATGTACTCATGCAGCAACTGGAAATATAATTGGAGAAAAGCATTTTGCATGCATTTCTATTTCAATTTAAATCTCAAAAATCTGAGACAGCATATTAATGTCCAGAGTCTGCAGATACAGAAAATTGGAGGGGATGGTTTACAATGTTTTGATACAAATAGAGAGCGAATAAACAGATGTACTGTAGCAGATAGCACCTAGCAGTTGACATGAAAGTTAAGGGAAAACAAGAGTTTAGTCTATCTGGCTCTTTAACAAGAGCACAGGCAACTGCAAGGGTTTGTCCAACATGGAAAAAAGGAAACAACAAATCCCTCGTGCACATCCCATAGAAATTTTTAAAATTATCAATCACCACAATAAATAGAGGTCTAGGACATTAAATCTGGAGATTGGATAATGCACACTCAGAATAGTTCTCTCAGAACGAGAATTTTTTTGAGCAAGTACATTCTAGTGTCTTCAATCTATATGACACAATTGAAGGTCTTTTGTCTATCATATTCACACCAAAATGTTGCCTTCGAGTAAGCCCCATGGTACTAGAGTTATCAATTCATTAACTAAATTCTGCTGGACAAACAGATGCTACATGATCTTGGCTCTGAAAGTTAAAAAATATAACCCCCAACAAATAACAAGCTTTCAATTTTCACATTTAAGTCTGAAATTTCAACTAAAAATTCCTTGTTCATTTCATTACATCTCCACGAAAGCTTCAGCTGTAATGAGGCTTTCTAAGTTCGAACCCAAACCTCAATACTTTCATCTCACTTAATCCCATGTGCTAACCACCTCAGAATGAGAGACACCATTTGCTTTTGGGTAGACACCAACTTATGACTTCTGGTCTGTCAAGTTTATGCTAAATAATGAATGTTCCCTTGTTTACCTGCTTTAATTTACTTCCTGGCAACCTTATGCATAAGGCTCTATACATCCCTCCATTTTAACATTGTCTTCAGGAAACCAATTGCTAATTTAAATGTCACTTTTAGAGCAAGTAGTTTCTTTCTGCTCCAAATCCTCGCACTGACTACAACTTAGGTGGCCTTCTTTAATACTAATCCATTTACTTAGTCTAAATTCCATGGATACAGTCACTGCTTTAATGAGATTTATGTTTGGAAGCTTAGACTATCTTGCATCTCAAATTCTGTCATCTATAACCTAATGGAAAATAATTTTCTCCGCACTTTACTAAACCAAGATCAGAGCTTCACGCTTGTTAACTCAATCATACAGGTAGACTTCAATCCTTCTTCATCCACGGTTCCAAGAAAATTGTTCCAGAAGACCATTGATATAATCTTCTATGTAATCAGATACAAAAACCCAAAATCTCCCTAAACAGAGTTCTGCACCAAAAATTTATTCAGCTAAGCAACTTCTCCCGATATTTATTCTCAGCAGCAAGTTCATCATCAGTCATAAGAACCTCCCCTACATCTCTTGGTCAACGGCCAAGCACGCTACTTGACAGGCCATTTCTTTTTTTTTTTTTTTTTTTTTTACCATCATAACTAATCAAGTGTAATTTTCCCATTCAAAACTCACATCTCCTACTTCCAGAGACCAATGTTTTAGGCTTTTTTAAGCTTAGATCCATTCCTTAACCTGATAATTAGCCAGACCAATGAGCATCAACCCTAGTGGTACTTTCCCCTAGAAAGTAAAGGGAAGGGGATAGATCTCAAGTTCAAGTATCACCATTACCACCATAAGAACCGAAAAAATAAACACAAGAAAACAATCTTCTTGACTCTCATGTCCCTTTAGCATAACCTCTCCGAAAAAATTCCTAAACCATCTACATTCTCCAAGAAACTACCCCAAGACTAGCATTTGCAGCAAACAACTATTATATTTCAGTTGAGCAATATATGGAAAATCAAAAAACAATGACCAATCAAAAGTAAAGGCCAAAAAGCAAGGGAAAATGTAACAAACCTTAGTGAAGTAGAGCAGAGCTTCATTGAAGTTACCTTGAGCCTGCAATTCCCTCCCTTTCTCCAACAACTCGACAGCTTCTGAAACTCTCCTAGATATGATAGCACTGGCTTCTTTCTCAGCTTGGCTTACTGGGTCAAAGCTCTCTGCTAGTGCCCAACAAGAGTTGAAGTTTAATTGTCTACTTGAGGCACTTGCAATTTTAGTACCAGTAGTACTAAGAGGAAGAAGATTAGCAGAAGTTGCTGCAGTAAATAAAGGAAGGGAGAATAGGAGAAGGCGCCTAGTGGTGGCTCTTGGGTTTGGAGTTGGTGGTGAAGGTGGTGGTGGTGTTGGTGAAGGGAGGAGTAGATTGGAAATGGGTGCCTTACATACACCCATTTGTTGGCTAGTTTTTTTGGTGGCAAAAAAATTTTGGGCTTTGCATATCTGAGTTTCTAGTTTCGTTAGTTGCCTTTTAACTTGTTGATTTTTTATCGCTTTAACATTCTGTTTAATTGATTAGAAACCTTAACTTTATCAAGCAGATTGATTGAAAGGTTACAACTAAAATTATTTTTCAATTTCAAAATCCATATTTTTAAAAAATTATTATTTTGAAATAATTTATTTTTAGGCATCATTGAATCATGAAATAATTTTTTTAACAGATGAACAAATTAAAAGAGTAAATTATAAATTTGTCCTTCTATTTTCAAAAAAAATAATTAATTAATTTCTCTTATTTTAAAAATTAATTATTTAATTTTTTATCAATATTGATCGTATTTAATTTAATATTTATTTATTTAATGAAATGTTATTTTTCTTTTCAATCATTCCATATTTTTTTTACTTATTATTTTTTATAAATAAAAAAAATTAAATTTTAAAAAATAATTAAATTATAATAAAATTTAAAAATATAATGACTGAATAATTAATTTTTAAAGAAAAAAAACTAATTATTAATTAATTTATTCCTCAAAACTAGAGGTACTAATTTATAATTTACTCTAAATAGACTAGATCCATACAAATGCTATCACAAAAAGTAGATTCTTGATTACCTTGAAAATTTTACCATAGAGCTGCAAGTGGGAGAAAGGAAGCTATTAATTACTTTTGCCTTTAGGTACATCTATATCCAGGCAATCATCATAAGAACATAAGAGCAATTTGTTTCCAAATTTCAATTTGTCATCACTTATCGTAAGTAATTCAATGTACCAAAAACAGTGTAGAAGTCAAATAACAGCAATCACAAGGCTACAATATTACATCTTTCCAGTTCATGTAGACAAAAGCAAGAGTAGAATAGAAACTATTTCTTCAGGATTTGGTGAGGGATCACAATCACCACTTTTGTTAGAGATCTGGAAATGATGCAAGGATAAATGAGGCCAAATCAGCAACAACTGCTGGTGGACGCATCAGATTGTGGCCGCTTCTCATTAAAGATGTTCTTTTTCACACCTTTGGAGCCCTCAGCCAATAGGCTGGGTGTATCTAAAATCTGCATACCATCACCATACAAGGAATTAGTCATTGCATTGCAGAAACAATTTAACAAGGGGACACAAAAACACAGCCTGCTTGCACAGGCAATTTTGTTCCTGATATCAAACAAATACGAGAACATAGGCACCAACAAATTCAGAGTACTAATATAAAGAAAGAAGTAAATAAGTGCGTATCATCTTCTTGTTCTGTACCTTTAAAACAAGCTCTTCAAAAGATTGCTGTACATTGACACGAGTTTTAGCACTGCATTCAATAAAGAGGCATCCATATTCCCTAGCAAAGTTTATACCCTCCTTCTTCGTTACCACCCGATCACTTTCCTGAAATAAAGGAACATCCGAGCATTCATGAAACTTCCATAAAAGATGATATTATCTCAAAGTTCGATGCCCACAGATAAAAAGACGCACTACCACCATAAAGTGTTGAGCATCACCTAAACGCATATCATGCATGGATATGAGAAATGAGAAAAATGGTGCCCATCAATCTCAAATACAAAGCTGACTTGTGCAACCAAGTATATTCAAGCAAAACAAATAACCATGCCAGGTTGTTGAGAAAGGTCAATGTACATGGCCAAGGCAAAAGAAGAAAATGTCCAACAAATACGTCATTGCCACGTTATAAGTGACAAAGAACATCCAAATCATCTGACTCGTGAATTGTATAGCAATTCACTTATGCCGTAGGAACATCATTCTAACCTCAGAACTTTGGCAGTTATTGTTTTGCAGAACAACATGAGGGCAATGGTTTCTTTTCCTCTACGGAAAAAAGGGTACTTTTTCTTAAAAGTGATATTTGGTCAAAATTCCCATTCAGCATAGAAGTAAACCACAAATTTACAGCTTCCCAGATCTAACTTCTAAGATGTAGTCTTAAAATTTTCTAAGAGTATCATCTTCTCAAAATATTCAGAGGAATATTGGAGCATGAACCTATAACAATTACTAAGGAGAGAGAGAGGGGGGATGCATGGACAATTCAGCCCTCTCTACTCAAAGCAAGTTGCTTGTATTGAACCCACAAACAAGATCAAACAGTAAACAACAAAACCATAAATGATATGTAATATTGAGAGAGAGAGAGAGAGAGAGAGAGGGAGGGAGGGAGGGGGGAGATGTAACACAAAATGAGAGCTGTCCCCTTTCAACAGCAAAATTAAAGCCAAATTTCAACTGCATCTCTCAAAACAAGTTGTAAACCTCCATCAAATTACCTTGTCAACCTTGTTTCCAACAAGCATCTTGATGCAGTCTTGATTTGTCGAATATAGATCAATTTCCTTGGCCCATATCTCAGAAAGATTGGTAAATGTGTCTCTTCGAGTTACATCATAGACTGTAGCAATTAAAATCAGGAATATTTAACAAGTTGATTTAAAAAAAAAAAAAAAAACTGACAATAACACAGCAGAACTACAACCTACAATCTCAGAATTTCATTGTTTTAGGGTTGAAATAGCAGAAAGTTTCAAAGCTAGCTGAAATAATAAAAACAATAATTCATCAAAAAGAGGAAAACTTTAATCAGTTCAGTTAAAGTTTTGAAACTCTGATGATGTCTTTGCTCCAATTTGTAAACCTTGAAATAAAATTATGAGAAAGACTCAAATAAAATTGAAGCTCCAACAGCTAAAAAAGAGAAATGGTAGCAGCGGATTGCATGGGTGGTGAAACAAAAACCATGAAGCCACATTTCTTTTCCAGTGTTTCTTGCCAGAAGTTTAGTTCCTATTTAATTAAGGAATCCAAATACATGGTGAACAGATTAAGTTTAAAAGAATATCATCTGTTTCATAAAATTATTATGTGACTTGAAAGAAGTAAATTGCACATTGTGCATGTAAGCCATCATAATCAGTTCAGGCAAAGCCAATGGCCCAATGAATTGACCTTTCAAATTCAAAGAACACCATCTTTAAAACTTTATAGTGAAGTTTTGTAGTGAAGTTTGCATAGCAACAACAATTAAATAAGCAATTGTAGAAGTCAGAAAAGAAAGGGGAAATACCCATTATGATCCCTTGGGCCCCTCTGTAGTATGAACTCGTCAATGTCCTAAATCTCTCCTGACCAGCTGCATGAATACACATTGAACATCAGAAGGCGATACTTGGCCAATTAAAGCTTTCTCTAAGGAGAAAGTGGTAAGCCAAAACTGTAAGACTTGGTAAAACAACATAAGCAGGTAACAAAACCATCAAATTACTAGTAACATTATTGCCTGCTAATACATAAGCAATTAACAAAATTTCATCCTGGAGTCTGGAAATGTTATTTGCTAATACTATGCTACATAATTTATGAGAACATTTAATGCCACCGTCAGAGTTATAGCTATAAGCCATCGAATGATAGGATAACACTGATAAGGACTAGATGTTTATAGCATAAGCACTGCTATTAAATTTGCATTGGATGGCATGAGACATAATATGGAGGAAATGTATAAACACAAAGTAGGCAATTATGAAAAATGAAATCACGGACTAAGTGACAAGCAATAGACAGGAGCACACGGTTGAAGTTACCTGTATCCCATATTGCAAGTTTCAGCTTTTTCCCTCCAATATTCACGAATTTTACTTTAAAATCAACACCTGTGCAGGGAAGCGAACAGAGAATAAATTGAAATCTCAAGAAACGGAGACTAACAAAATCATGGCTTCAAACAACAATTTTGAAATGGTCAAGAGAGCAAAATGCTATAAGCTTGCTCCCTAATGCAAACAGAGTATATTTTTAGGATTTGATGAACAACATGACATAAACAATTCTTCAAATATTAGATCCATTAAGTGCTATAAGCATGACTGATTAGCAAAATTTCACTGAAAGATAAGAAATATATAAATCTGAACTCAAAACACTTTCCTCGATGACAGTTTAAGTAGCAAAAATCAACATCTGTCGCCAATAGAAAGAAAGCACAAATTTGATTTCTTGCAAATAGTTATAGCACAAGGAAACAATTTGAGGTCTGAATCTTAATTTTCAATCCACTGAGAGATGTCTTAAAAGAAACACCAATATGTAAGAGAATGCTAATCAGCACATGACCATAACTTGGCAGTAAAATCGAAGCATGAGACCCTATGTACATCAGCTAAATAATAAAAGCAGATTACAGCAACCTTAAAATCAACAAGCACGCATGCTCGGACAAATATTTGTAGTGTCTGTATCACTTACCAATGGTAGGGGAGAGATCTTCAAAAGTATCAGAAGTGAAACTCAAAAGGAGACTACTTTTACCAACACCAGAATCTCCGATCATCAACAACTTGAACAAGTAATCAAACTCTGGAGCACTCGAATCCATTCAAATATTCTCTCAACAAAGACCAGTAAAATCCCAGTTCCTCCAATACCAAAACGTGCCCCAGTTCACCTTATCAAAACACCAAAAAAGAAAAAAAAATCTCAATTTTAAGACAACAAAATAAATTGAAAAGGAAATAAACCCACGTTCTTATACATTAAACCAAGAAAAACCCACATTCTAGAATTGGAAATTATGATCTAAGTTTGCATCTTTTTTCAGAATATATATAACACATCAAATAAAAAGGGCAAAAAAAATAAAAAGGGCAAAAAAAAAAAAGGAGTAGATGCAGAAATTCATAAAAGACAACAGTTGATACTGAAAATAGAAATCCCAACTCAAAACGGAGAATTTCCAAATCATTAGATCAAACAAAAGTGAAAAGTCACAAAGGCATCAGTACCCAAAAACACAAATCAAAATATATGCGGGTGTGTTATGTAATTCAATGGAAAAGGAGAATTGAATGTACCAGAAAGGAAATGTCTCTGAAAAACTTCGTAAAATTGAGTCGGTGGGTTTGCATACAAGGGAGAAAGAGAGAGCTC